GGAGGTGATGGATACTGTGAAAGAAATAACTAGTCTCAAGGTAGGCAACCGTCCCTGGCAGAGAGAGGATATGGGAGGCAGGGAGGAAGAAAGAGATAGAGAGAGACCTGCTCTAAGCTGTGTACATGCTGGCTATATAGTTTGTGGCCCAGGTCTGGGGGACTCAGTAGGAGTGACATCTTAGCTGACACCTCTACCTGCTGTTGGCACCAGATGTATGCAAGCTGATAAAAACTTGATAAACACTATCACTCGGTATAGCTTCCTGGCTGTGGCTGCCCCTGCTGCTGTGGAGGGCAGACCCCTGTACTGGGGGTCTGTGCTAGGCCTCACAGATGTCAAGTCATAGTGCCCTTCCAGGCCTTCTGCAATTCAGTCCCTATCCTCCTGATGACAGTTCAGGATTCGAAGAACCACAAATACAAGTCTCCTGAGTGGATGGTCCTGGGTGCCCATTAGGCATGGCCGCAGCCTCCAGCAAAGGCTAGAAGAGCTGGCTCCAGGAGCTGAGCTCTGGAGAGGAAGCTGGGTGCTAAGAGGAGGGAGGCATGCTGGGAAATTGATTCCAAGGCAGGAGGTTCTGCAGCCACCAGAGGCCTGGATGGGTGTGCAGGAGAGAGACCAGGAGAAAGGACACTAAGAGGTAGGGACACACTCTGTCCTCTGTCTGCCAAGGAGGACTCCAAACCTTCACCAGATCCGTTCATTGCTTCACCCGGTCACACAGTATCTGTCACCACTGCAACAATTCACTCCGTAGGGGCTGGTTCCTCTGCAAGTCACAGGAGGGAGGCTGTGTCCTACTTAGCAACATAGACTTGGTGCCTAAGACAGGGCCTGACACAAAGCAAAGACAGTTTTTGAGTAAACTGACACTCTGCCTCTGCTTCAACTGCTTAAGAGCAGAGTGCAGACGGGGGTGGGGGTGGGGGTGTGCAGCCATCAGCCCACTTCAGAATGCAATGCGGTGGGGTGGGGTGGGGTGTGCTTAGCCCTGGGTACGGTTGGCAGCACCCTTTCACAGTCCCACCTACCCCGCTCTTCAGCTCTTCTCCCCTGGGTCTAACAGCCTCCCCTCCGCGTTACCTCCTCCTCACCCACTAGGATTTCAACAGGCCAAAGCCGCATGCGTGGCCCCCATATCCGCGTTGGCCTAATCCCTAGTGGGCGCATGTGCGAGGTGATTAGGGCAGGGCAAGGAAGAAACCCTCCTCAGTGAGACGCGTGACCCGACAAGCAATGTCCCCGAGAGGTTCTTCTTCCTTCCCCAGCATGAAGGACTCCGTGAGAAGCCCACGGAGAGGAGGCTCACCATACCCAAATGCCCACACTTCCCTTCCTGCCTTCTCCAGAACTATGATGGCAAAACCCTGTATATAAATAAGCTACGCAGGTAGCGTTTCAGTGGCAGCTGCTCAAGAAGACTAAGACATGGGTTTTAAAAGGAATCCCTCTGGGTTCCACAACAAGAGCGGAAGTCAAAAGAAGGGATTGGAATCTGAGCTTCTCCCTTGCCACATCACCACAAGAAAAGGCTTCACTCGGAATTCTCGATTGTCTTTCCATCTGAGTACTGCCCTTCTGGGCTCTCTGGTTGAGGTCTAAACCAGTCACAGGTCACGTGCAAGCTGAGGCTAGAGGCCTGGGAAGACAAGGTGAAGGGCCTTGCCATGCAAGAAGAGAGGGGCTCCTGACCCTTGGACCGGGGCCAGGGGGGTGGAGGCTAACTGTCCCGACCCTGCCACTTCCGCAGCCTAGTGACAGGCTGGTGAACAGAGCAGCATCTGCCAAGCCCCAGGAGTCCACCTTCAACATGGCGGCAGCTTGGTGTCAGTGCACGTCTGCAGAGGCCCCTGGTGCACCGGGGCGCTTCCTGTCCCAGCCTGCGGCCCCCAACCGCTGGCAGCGCGGTTTCCGGCAGGGCTGCGGCCAGGGCCTTCACTATCAGCTCGGCACCAGACACCCGGTCAGGATACTTGTGGTGAAACTGTGAGGGCGACTGGGCCTTCGGGGTTTTCTCCATGTCAGCCTCCAAGACAAATGGAGGCAGCTCAGAACCCGCAGACCTCTGCTGTGCTCTGAGCCAAGACAGGGTTGCCCAGTGCTGGGCCCACCTGCCATGTGGCCTTGGGACACGTGGGCTGAGGTGGGGGCCTGGTTTCTGGGCCACCTGCCATGCCTGAACCCAAAGTGAGGCTTGCATCGTCCAAGGGCCCAAACCTGGTGAGATGTGGGGCCAGATCTCCACTCCTCTCAGATTTCCAAGAGAGAAACTGAGGCTCTGCTTGCTACTGGGGAGTTCCTTGCTTGCTACAGGTGCAGGTAGGCATGGGGCTGTGCCGGTCTGAGGTTCTTGACACCAGGGCAGCAAGGAGGATGGAGACAGCAGAGACAAGCTGCACCTACTGCGCCAGGCCAGGGATTCCGGAGCACCACTGCTGGGCCGCCACAAAGCCAAGTCCTCCGCCCTTCGACCTCTTGACGCAGGGCTACGTAAACCCCAGATGTAGTAATACGGAGCCCGGTCATATAATGGACCCCTTGACCAGGTGACTTTGTGCAAGACTGGACAGGACCAGGCCTTTAAATCAGGAGGGGTGCGCGCATGCGCGGGATTGCTTGCCGGTGGCCATCAACTGCGCTTGCGCATCCCAGTCTTGGCGCCTGCTTCTCCCCAGCACTTGAAGTGATGCCAAAGTGCTAACGTGGCCCTTTCCCCCTCGGGTCCACTAGGGGGCGATCGGAGCACGTTCAGATAACTTGCTGTTTCCTGAAGGCTCCAAAATACTAAGACAGAGGCCTGGTCTTCAGTGAGCATGGCGTTGCACTGGGTACCTGCACTACAGGCAGTTCCCGGAGCGAGCATCACCTTGACACCGGCTGGAGCCCCAGCTCCTCCTAGGGCCAGCACCCAAAAGAATTAGCTCCAGTGCCTTAAGCCATTGTCAATCTATGAGCAGGTTGCTCCATATTGAAGAGTCTTGTGTAAGGCCAGAGAGGCAGGCCAGGATTTCACTGCCCACAGGTCACCTGATATCCCATCTTAAAGTCACCACACACCTGATCCCTTGCTTTTCGTTGTTTGTGAGACTGGATTTCACACGTAGCCCAGGCTGAACTGAAGGCCTGATGCACCATCCCCCACCTCCCATATTCTGAGATTACAGTCCTGCACCAGCCACCACATTCAGCACTCCAAGTGTTCCTGACTCAACAGCAAATGGCTGGCCTGCCCACTCCTAAATCCTAGGCATTGCTGTCCTGAAACCCAGTGCTCACTGGTTGCTAGCTCTGGTTCATCTTGTAGTATTTTTTCACTTGCCTTCCTTCCCTGATCCACACACGTGGCCACTGTCTCAAGAGGTCTAATGCTGTCTTAGGAATCTTTATTGGGGTTAAGATGGTCTTTGTCTGGATTTTGTCTCAATGACTTCTGCTCAGTACCAGAAGATGGGCATGTTTCTATAACATAAGCATACTTTTTTGTACATTGTGCTAATAAAGTGAGCTCACTGTTGGCCTGGAGATATTAAAAATAAAATGCCAATTCAATAAATGCTTTAAATAAATCTCAAAACCAAGCAAACAAAACAAAAACAAACAAACAAAACACCAAATCAAGTGATCCTCCTGCCTTAGAATTCTAGATAGCAGGCACTACAGACATATGCTGCCACACAGGCCCTAGGTCTTTTCTTTTTTATGTGTGTTGTTTTCAGGACAGGGTTTCCCTGTAGCCTTGGCTGTCCTGGAACTCACAGAGATCTGCCTGCCTCTGCATCCCAAGTACTGGATTAATGGTGTTCACCACCACCCTCTGGCTGGCCTCTTCTAATTCTATATTCTTTGTAGACACTCCCAACCACCACAACACCCGATTTCCCTAACCAGCTCTGGACAAACCATTTGTCATCCCAAACCACATCTCTTCTCCTTGTCTAACCCTAAACTGCCTATGGACATCCTATTTGGAGATCTTAGGCACCTTGCCATATCTGAAGCAAAACTTCACCAGTTTCTCAACATTGGTCAACTCACCCCACCAACTTAAGAATATAGCCACCCACCCAGTAACCACCCACTACTATGTGCACACCTGTTAGCAGAAAGGTGAGCTTGTCAACAAACTCCCATTTGTCTGTCAGCCCAGTGGTCACACTGCAACAGTGGACTATGACACGGGAGACACGAGAGCCTGACTCAGTCAGGTAACAGCTTCCTGACCCGTGTACTATGTGAAGGAGGACTAGCCAAAGATGGGACTATAGTCCAGGCAGACACTTCATAGCATCTTCTAAAGCACCAAACGGTCCCTGGCCCCACCTATTACTACAATATGCTCCTGGCTTTCTCATACCAAACTTGCCCAGCTCTCATAGTGGGCAGTCTATCCTGATGTTAAGGTAAAGCCAAAAGCCTTGTCAGACCTGTCAAACTATCTTGTTCTAGACTTCTACCTCTCCAGCCCAGTCAGATATTCTACAGATTCCCTGTGGGTGCTCAAGCACCAGCCTCTTCCAGAGCCTTTGCACACACACCAGCCACCGCTTGGAACACTCTATTCTGTTACCTCCCCTTCTACACACACCCAGACTAAGACCAGTGTTCTCCAGGCCTGTGCCCTTCCTCAGAGTGTGGTCAATTTGAGATCATGAATTTGTAGGTATCTGTCACTCTCCCACAAAGCACCTCTGCTCTGCTTATCAACCTTTTTCAATGTCCAGAATGTGACACAGATTTAAGGAATATAAAAGGCTTACTCCACCACTGCTATGTGACTCTCTGGGTCTCTTGGCTTGTATTAGAAAACATCAATGTTCTGACACTTGCCTTGCAAACACTCTGAGAAAACCCACAGTGATATATAAATATTAACTCCTGGCCAAGCATAGTGGCACTTTAATCCCAGCTCTCAGGAGGCAGAGGCAAGAGGATCTCTATGAGTTCGAGGCCAGCCTGGTCTACAAAGTGAGTTCCATGAGATTTCAGCACACAAAACATTTGTTCACAGTCCCTCCTTTATTTTCATTTGGTCATACACACTTTAAAAAAACATGCATACACTCACAGAGAACCAAAAGTTAGGAATCAGAAGGGCATAAAACAGGACATATACATGGAAACAGCGCCCAACACCTCAGAACAAACCAAATCAACTGAAATGCCTGCCTTGTTCAAAACAAACCATATTTGTTTTTTATACAGGATTTTTGGTTTTTTTTTTTTAAAAAAGGGGAACCATTCAGAAATAAGGGACAAACTTCTTAGGCCACTGTGGGTGGGCCTCGGCTCTTCTTTCTTGAGGCCTCCCTCTACCTATGCACTGTATCTGAAAAGGTAGGCAGCCTGGAGACAAGGACTACAGAGCATCCAGGATGTGATCGATCTTGGTGACCAGCTCCTGGCGCTTCCCTGAGCTGACCTTTTCATTCTCGATGTATGTATCCTTCTTAAGCTTGCCAGCCACCAGCCTCTCTGCCTCCACTGCCGACTTCAGCACCAGCTCCTTGACCTGGGCGTCCAGCTTCTGCATTTCACTCACCTGGCAGAGACAGAAGCAGGGAAAGCTTTGAGAACTCCCTTTCAGCCCTACTCAACAAGCCCCATTGCCTCCCAGCCCTACAAATTCAGAGCCCCACAGGAAGTCCAAACTTCAGCAAAAAGCAGTTCCCATGGCAGAGGGCTCCTCTGCCAAACAAACAAGCAAACAAGCCTGGCTCCCAACAGAAGCCTCATCACTTACAGGCCATGTTCCCTTCAGCTCTGACATGCAAGCTGCTTCCACCCTGACAACTGAGGGTGAAAACCACAGGACCCCAGTGTGGAACATTCCTTTCATTATGTGAATATATGTCATTGTGGTTGGTTTAATAAAGAAGCTGACTAGCCAATAGCTGGTCAGGATAAAGTTAGGCAAGAGAACAGGGTGGAGTCAGAGGAGTCGCCAGACAAGGAGGGGAAACAGGAGGTGCAAGATGAAAGACAAGTAATGCCACATGGCAGAATGCAGATGAATAGGAATGGGTTAATTTAAGTTGTAAGAGCTAGTTATTAGTAAGCCTAAGCTATCAGCCAAGCATTTATAATTAAGTCTCTGAGTGGTTATTTAGGAAGTGGCTGACAAAAAAACTCTGCCTACATCCCAGCATCACGACTGACACACAGGCTCCACCAGTGTCCCCTCTCTCTACCAGGACCAGACGTTAGTTAGGACAAAGACCAATAGGCGATGTGGAGGGTGACAGCAAGATCAGACAACGTCCACTGTCACCTGTTTCATGGGTGCTACAAAGGAACTAAAGTGTTAGTAAGAGATCCAAGGTAGGAGTGGAGGAGCTAACAGGGAGCCTAAGAAGAACTCTTGAGGAGTACTTTGTAAAATAGGTAATACTTCCTTTACAGATAATAGTTGGCTCACACAGCACATAATCGTCAGAGCTCTAAATACTGACATGAACCACCTTTCAGGTATTGTGAAAGACTATTGAATTCCCAATATCCAGAAGGACACTCAGGCACAGAAATTAGGTAATCTGCCTAAGTTTAGAGAGTCTGGAGCAGAGCCTGGGACTTATGTCTGGTTGCCCCACCCCACCCCCTTTTTGAGAGTCTCATCCTCTGGCCAGGATTCACCTCGATCTCATTATGTAGCATGACCTCTACAAATACACACACTTCCAGAGTGCTGGGGCGACAGGCATGGCCATAGGGAGTTGAAGACTGACATCTGGAGGGGGAAACATTGCCCTTACTGCGAGTTACATGGACAGAGCTGCAGAAGCTGCAGAACGTCTCCAAAGCCAGCCTACAGACATCATAAAGTTTCGTGTCCCACCACAAGCACTGGCACCATTTTAAGAGCCTACAGTCCTGCATCATGTGAGTGCCCAGCCCAAGGGATAAGATGGGTGCTGCTTCCGACAAGTGGAATAGTCCCTGAAGTGGGGTGTGGAGTCACAGACAAGAGACTCACAACACTAATACTTACTCTATCACACAGGTCAGAGCCCTCTGTCTTCAGCCTAGACTGCAGCACAGCAATCTCACTGGTCACAGCTTTGTGCTCCATCTCCAGGCTCTTCTTGCCACTACTGAGGGTAGACATATCCCGGGACTGCTTGTACCTATTGATAGTCTCGTCAAAGTGACGGTAGAGGCCTAACCTCTTATTGACTAGGGTTAAGACCTGCTCTGTGATACAGGCCACTTTCATCCTGGCTTCTGCAGCTGGATCCTGGAGAGTAGAGAGACAATGTCTGTCAACAGATAGGCTGGTGCTCACTCTGACCTATCTGCCATAGGATGGCTACTGCCACCAGCCAACAGAGGTCACCGTAGGAAGCCAGGACTTAAGTAAAGCCTTCTGACATTTAGAGGAGCAGGCTCTACAACAAAGACTGGAGGAGACATCAAGAAGAAGCAAACACCACTTTACAGTTCCGCCGGCACATGCGTGATCAACAGTAATGGTAGAAAGCGCCACGACACTGGCACAGAGCTCATCTCTAGTGGTGAGAGACTTTGGGGAGACCATTAAGTCTCACCCTTCAAAGGTTTTCAGGGACTTCAGAGAAGAATATGAACTCTCTGACATTTACCATTCCTCAGAGGCCCACTCTAGATTCTCTCATTATGTGTCCACTGGCAAGGCCTACCCGACAACTCAGAGGCTGGCTTAGGTCTGGTGGACACAAGTTACCTTTACATAATAAACCCTTACTACTTTAACATGACATAGTTGTAGACACAGTAAGCAATGATTCAGCATTCAGTGTCATATCTGCAGATGTGAAATAATGAGGATTGCTCTGTGAACTGACAGAGAGGAATTCCAGGATAAACTTGACAAATGGAAAATGCCAAGTAGAAAATAATAATAATAATAATAATAATAATAATAATAATAATAATAATAATAATAATACATTCAGTCTCCACCTTTAAAGTAAAAGAAGAGACAATAAGTGTGCTTCGGGTCCCCAACACAGGGCTCCAGATTCCCTTATCAAACAGTACGACTGGCAATAATGAGAGAGAATGGGAACTGCAGGGAAGGGAAGAGACGCTGCAGTACCCTACAGCCCAAAGGAAGGTGGCTTTCAGTTAGCAAGCAGAACTCCAAGGGAAGAAAGGTAGTGACCTGGGCCAGGTCAGCAGTATCTGATTAAGTCTGGTGTCATCTCCCCACAAGGCACTCCCATAGGGGAAGGGACATGACAGTTAAACAACAAGTAGCAAAATAGAAGAATAACCACCACCAATCATGCAATGATTCTCCTACCTTACCTAGTGTCCAGGGTGTTTCCACAACCAAAATAAGGCAGGAAGCAGAGACTCGGATCACATTCTCAGATATAACATACGAGGCTATGGTAGAGCTCAATAGCTGCCTGGCATGCCTGATACTCAGGGTTCCACCCCCAGCACCACAAGGGGGAAGAAATATCTCTCTAGTGAGAATTAGCAGAGGCCTGGAAGCCTCTGGTCCTATCTAGCTCATTGCGGAGATGTGTGTGATACATCACAAGGGCACAAGGACTATCTGACACAGTTATGAAGCGAGCAGAGTACCTTGGTGATGGAAAAGTCCAGACGGACATAGACAATGACGGTGAAGAACAGAATGTAGAAGGCAGCCACGACCAGCAGAGGCTCCTGCAGCATGAGCACCTTGTTGAAGGTGTAGTGCACCTGGAAGAACCCGAGAAAAAAACAGCTCAGATTCAGAGCCCAAAGCCACTGCTCTTAGCAGCTCAAACAATAAACAGCAGAGCCACTCACCACAATGTCCTGAATGTGCTGCTCAACCAGATTTTTCTTGTAGGCAACAATCACTGGGCGGCCAAATGTGTCTAGGTAGGTATAGTGCAGCTCATCTGCAGCACGGCTAATATCGTAGGGACTGTCTACCTGGATGTTCCTGAACACACAGAAGACAGAACAGCCTCAAACAAAGCACAGCCACAGATGAGGGTGTGGACTGCAGAATTCTAAGACTAAAGGCTAGCAAGAGGCTAAATTCACACTGTGTTGCTCTGTCTGCTCTAGGCATCTGACAATACTCTCCTCCTCCTACTAACCGTCAGAAAGCTGAAAAAGCTGAAGATCAGACTGAAAGTCTCCCTCCAGCACTCACAAAGATGGTTCACCGAGCAACACAGTTTCCCAGAACAGCCGACCCAGGGAGTCTCTTAGAGACCTAAGAGTGCCTTAGGAGCATGTATGTTACTTTTTGGCCAGGCCTACAGTCCCTAGAGAAATAGTAACACAGTAGCTTGGCTTGAAGGAACAGTCAAAGCACGTGCCATCCTGGTCATCAAAGTAGATGTATAAGCCAACAGAGACCATTCAAACATCGTGACATGAGACTATGTAGGTGACACAAACTATAAGCAGCCCACGCTAAAGATAGAAGCTCTGTAACCCATCTGCTCCCCCGTCCATCTACTCTCACCAAATGGACTCCTCCAGACATTCCTGGCTCCTTCCTCAAGTCAGTGGTTCTCCATACACAGACACCAGCAGTACTGGAGCTTGAACCCAGGGCCTCCCCAACAGACTAGTGACTACTCTACCAGAGAGTTACACAGCGCCAGCCCTTGCCTTCACACCTTCCTTCCCAACACCTGGCTCTTTAAGTTAAACTCCCATTTTATCAACATCTCTTTCCCAAGCTGCTCAAACTGACCAAAAATGATTCCTCCTATTTGTTATGAAAGACCCTGAGACAGCCCCCAGGAAAAGAATGGCACCAGAGCTTCCCCACTTACTCACTCTTTGTTAACACAGCAAAGTCTCCCAATTTTTTTTTAATTGGTACTTTCTACATAGACAGTAGCCCAGGCTGAGCTTCAACATGAGATTCCCCAGGCTCACACCGCTATGATCCCCTCCACATTCCTCTGGGTTATTGAGGTAACTCTGGCTTCTGCTCCTGGCATGTGGATACACTATGTTTTTGGAAAGCTTCCTAACTAAATCATGTACTCTCCTTTGAATCTAACTTTTCTTTCCTAGCTTCAGTCAACGGTTCCATAAAAAAAGGTTTCTCAGTCAAAGCTATTTAATGAGTACATACACTATACCGCTAGAGCACACGTCTCTCATGAGACACCAGGCACTGTCAGAGAAACTTGGGTGGAAAGGACGGGAACAGTCACTTACTTGGCCCCCTCAGGCAAGATGATCTTCACTGTCAGAGAATCTATCACTTGCTCATCAAACACGTGGTCCACAAACCGCATCTTCAGGGCATACTGGTCACCTGAGAATCACCAACAAGTACAGGCAATGGTGTGAGCAGAAAACAAGATGACAGACAGGAAATGACAAGATATGAACCTTCCCCTTTTACACAAAGATAGAGATGTTACCAAGAAATCATGGACAAGAGCTGGAGATGACAGTGCAGGCTTTTTGGCTCTTTGAAAGACAGAACAACTATAAATAATGTCAAAACTCTGGGACACTTACAATACAGCATCTTCTTCAGTTCAGCCGTGCTTACTGGCAGATCACCCACCACGGCTGGGCTTGTGGACCTGACATTCCCTCATAGGAGGAAGGTCATGGGATCCTCCCCTGAACATCCAGCTATGACTCTTAGACATTTACATAAAATTATGCCCTAATGCACGTCAGCCTTGGGGCCTCTCAGGGAGGGGCTGGAATAGTTATTGCTGGGGAAGGACTAGGAGAAGAGGGCTCTCTTTTTCTAATGGGGAAGTCATCATCCATACCAACTTTCCAGCATGACTACTTTAGGGTCACCCACACTCCTGCCAGGAGCCCCTCACCTAGACTCTGTAAGTAAGCCCAACAACACTGATTCCCCAGAGAAAACTCTGATGGACTCTAACTGATTTGTCATTGGGACCTTATAGAGGATGAGGGCAGTAGATATGGCCTAGTCCTCCCCGTCCCAGGGAAAAATTTCTCACACTGTATCAAGAGCCAAAAGACCTACAGGCCAGCAGTGACAGTGACGGAGAAAGCTACATGGCAAGTGATGGAACCCAGGAGAGAAGAACCGCAATAGGAATGCTTCTCCAGAGAACAGGGCAGGTCAGCAGATGAATCCCAAGGAATACTGTTCCTGGCTCAGCGGAAAGAGACCCAAGTCCTAGATGTCTAGCCCCTGAAGAACTAAAAAAAAACTGTGTAATGTAGATGTGAGCAGTTTCTTACACCCACATCCCCACAGCAGTGCTGGGGACTGAACTAAGGACCTCACACATGTTAGGCAAGCACTCTTGCCACTAAGTGACAGTCCCAGAGGCAAAGAAAGCTCAGAAGGCAAGTCACACAAGAGCAGAGAACTGAACCATACAAATGGTGCCGTGACAAACCCTACTTCAAGTTCACAGCAAAAACCAGCATTAGAAAAGGGTTTGCACTGGGTGTTGGTGGCACACACCTTTAATCCCAGCACTCGGGAGGCAGAGGCAGGCAGATCTATGTGAGTTCGAGGCCAGCCTGGTCTACAGAGCGAGTTCCAGGACAGCCTCCAAAACAATACAGAGAAACCCTGTCTCGAAAAACCAAAAAAAAAAAAAAAAAAAAAGGGTTTGCAGGCTAGGGAGATGACTCAGAAGGTAAGAACGCTTGCCAACAAACCAGATGGCCTGAGTTCAATACCAGGGACCCATAAAGAAGGAAGAATGACTTCCAGAAGCTGACCTCTGACCTTCACATGAATACTGTGCCAAAGGGACACTCACACACATGCACACAAAATAAAGATAAATATGTAATAATGAAGAAAGCAAATATGTTTGTAATTCCAACCATCTGGAAGAGACCCTGTCTGGAAAAACAAACAAAAAAAGAAAAGAAAGAGACTGAGGCAGGAGGATCTCTAGTTTTAAGAAACACACTATCTCAAAAAACTAATGCTATAAATCTACAATTCTGCCATTCCCTGTACTCTTCAAAACCAAAAATTTTCCTGTAGAACTAGTAAAGAAATATACAAGCAAATGTACTGTAAATGTTTTGTTTTTTACAGAGAGATAATGTATACTGAGCCCCATGACATAAAGGCACAGAAATTGGCAACCTTAGAGCAATGAACACCCCTAGTTCTCATACAATGGACTTAAAAACCACTGTCACTAGAGCAAACCAAGGCTTCTTGGAGACATGGCTGATATGAAGTCTGGAGCACAAACTATACAAGTTTACAAGGTAAACTTTTTTTTTTTTTTTGAGACAGGGTTTCTCTATGCAGCCTTGGCTATCATGGAACTCCATCTATAAGACCAGGCTGGCCTCATATTCAAAAATCTGCCTGCCCCTGACTCCTGAGTGTTACACCACCCATCTTTTTATAAGTCAGTGAAGAAGTTAAGACACTACAGTCATGTCAAAGATTCAGGAGTTTAATCTGAAGATGTCCAAGCACTAAAGGCAGACGAATATAAGCATCAATTAGAATACCAACAAAGAAATAAATGAACAGTATTTTTATAAGGGCAAAATATAACAAATAGTACCTAAAACTATAAGTGGTAGTAAAAGAAAAAAGCCTACAAAAATAAGCCTTTAATCACAGTACTCAGGAGGATATTTGTGACTTTGAGACCAGCTTGTTCTACACAACCAGATCAAGGACAGTCAAAGTTATAAAGAACCCAGCCTAGAAAAATAAACAAATAAATAAATAAGAAAGAAAATATGACATAATGTTTATACTCATTAGCTCTGGGTATTTGTACAAACCTTTGTTTTCCCTCATCTCTTATTAGAGACAGGGTCTCACTCTGCAGCTCTGGCTGACCAAAAAACACTATATAGATCAAACTGGCTTTTAACAGAGATCAGCCTGCCTCTGTCTCCGAAATGTTAGGAATAAAGGTGTGCACCACCAAGCCTGCCCTTAAAACCTTTTCTTGACTTTATTTATTTTTTTTTAAAGATCTCAAATAAAGACTTGGGTGGGCCTCAGTGACATTTGCTTGGATGTAGATTCAGTCTTCAACACTACACAAAAAAATAAAGGGGATCTGTGAGTAGTGAGATAGGCCAGTTAGATGGCTCAGCAGATAAAGGTGCTTGCTGTCAGTGCTGGCAACCTTAATTCCTACCTAAAAACCAAGAGACGGAGAGAAGCCGAGCAGTGGTGGTGCATGCCTTTAATCCCAGCACTCGGGAGGCAGAGGCAGGCGGATCAATATGAATTCGAGACCAGCCTGGTCTACAACAGCTAGTTCCAGGACAGCCTCCAAAGCCACAGAGAAACCCTGTCTCAAAAAACAAACAAACAAACAAACAAACAAACAGGAGAGACCCAACTCCAGCAAATTGTCCTGACTGCCACACATGCACTGGGGGGTGCACGTGCGCGCACATACACACACACACACACACACACACACAAAAGAATTAAGAGGAAAAGAAGCTCAAGAACACATCAAAGAGTTTAAACAGCTCTGCTCTGTCTCAACTGATACTGAATGTACGCATTACATTTACCAGAGTAATTTACACCAATGCACAAAAGCACAGGTACCCCAGCCTTCCTAAAAAATAACATGAGATCACTCTCCTTACATATAAGCATTGGTTTAAAAAAATACACACCTACAAGAAGTTAAAAGAAAAAGCTGGCCCTTTGCAATTCTATTCTTACTATGTTCAACACTCACCCAGATTGTAGAGGTATTCATAGCTTGGGAGGTTGTAGCCAACAATGTAGTGTGTCTTCCATCCTCCAAAGAGAGGAAATCGAGGCCGGATTTCCATTTCCACAGAGTCATCCAAAATTAGGAGGTGACTGGTGGAAACATTACCAATCTCATCCCGGTAATACACATCCTGGGCAGCAGCAGGAAGGATGGTCTGCAAGAGAATAGAAATGCCTTCTAGAAACTCCAGGAACCTCTGCAGAAATATGACCTAGTAAGTATAAAGCCTGCATAGACCCCAGACAGTAAACCTTCTAAATTATCAACTTTTCCCAAGGTTTCTAAAGACCTAGACATCCCATTTATTTCTCAATGAATGATAAAATCTTCTCAACAGGAAACGACATATTTGCAAAGAAAGTTATAAGACAGAAATTAAAGAGACAAGGAACTGCATCAAATTGCTAGTGGTTGATTTTAACAGTTCTCCATCCAATGTGCTTACACATCTTCCAAGGATACTAACCAGGGAGATTGTAACATTTGTTTACACAGTAAGTGAGCATTTCTGTAATATGTAAATATAAGACAATATTTGTAAGATTTCACTTGGACAAAGGCACAGTCAATCTATTAACTTTAATAGCTTAAGACGACTTCAGGAAACACATATCCACACTTTTCAGCTGTCTTTCCATCTGAGAGGCTCTTCCATTCTCTTACTTTCTTTTTTTGTTTGTTTTTCGAGACAGGGTTTCTCTGTGGCTTTGGAGGCTGTCCTGGAACTAGCTCTTGTAGACCAGGCTGGCCTCGAACTCACAGAGATCCACCTACCTCTGCCTCCCAAGTGCTGGGATTAAAGGTGTGCACCACCAATGCCCGGCTCCCATTCTCTTACTTTCATATTTAAAATTTGTATTACATACACATCACACACAAGCACACAATAAGTTAGTAAATGTAAGTTTTAGAGTCCTTTAATAAACCTCAACCCTGCTTCATAAAAACAAAAACAGCCTAAGACATGGTAGTATACCCCTGAACTTGAGAAAAAGCCCCAAGGAGCTCAAGGCCATCTTCAGATACATACCAAGTGAGAGGTCAGCCTGTTACACCAGACACAGTCTGAAAAGCAAGCAGCAAGGACGGAAAGATGGCTGAGCAGCTAAAAGCACTTGCTACTCAATCATGAGACCAGAGTTTGGATCCCAGCACTCATGTCAGGCAGCTCACAAATGCCTGTAACTCTAGCTCCAAGAAATCCAACACTTTTCTGGCTTTCTCAGGTAGGTGCCCAAACACTCAAACAACACATACACACATACATACAATAAATCTGTAAAACAAGGGAACGTTTGGGTGTGGGTGGTACTATGAATATGTTTTTTCTTTATTCACATTTTCTAAAAAAAAAAAAAAAAAAGACCAACCACAGTCTAGTGTTGGGAGATGTCATTCTGTAAAAATGTGTCTGATTGGTTTGAATAAAGCACTGTTGACCAATAGGGAAGCAAGATGGGTGGGACTAGGAGTCAAGGAAGATTCTGGGAAAGAGAGACACAGAGAGACAATGTAGCCACCAGAGGAGTAAGAGGTTTGGACCCTTTCTCTTGTAAGAGAAATACTTACATTAACAATTATGAGTTAAATACTTAAGTCAGAGCTAGCCAGTAAGAAACCAAGCAAAGGGCCAACAGCTTCATAATTAATATAGCCTCCTGTGTGTTCATTTGGGACTGATGTGGCTCTGGAACCAAGCTGGCGAGGAAGACTACACTCTGCAGTCTAGGGCTGTGGTTCTCAACTTGTGAGTTGTAACCCAATTGGGGTCACCTAAGACCATCAGAAAACACAGATATTTGCATTTCTATTCATAACAATAGCAAAATTACAGTTATGAAGTAGTAACAAAATAATTTTACAGTTAGGGTCACAACATGAGGAACTGTATTTTTTTTTTCCCCCAGACAGGGTTTCTCTGTGGCTTTGGAGGCTGTCCTGGAACTCCCTTGGTAGTCCAGGCTGGTCTCCAACTTACAGAGATCCGCCTGCCTCTGCCTCCCGAGTGCTGGGATTAAAGGCATGTGCCACCAACACCCGGCCCATGAGGAACTGTATTAAAGGCAGCAACATTAAGAAGGTTAAGAACCGGCCGGGCGTTGGTGGCGCACGCCTTTAATCCCAGCACTTGGGAGGCAGAGGCAGGCGGATCTCTGTAAGTTGGAGACCAGCCTGGACTACCAAGCGAGTGCCAGGACAGCCTCCAAAGCCACAGAGAAACCCTGTCTCGAAAAACCAAAAAAAAAAAAAAAAAAGAGGCCAGGCCAGAATAGTGGCACACATCTATAATCCCAACACTTAGGAGCCAAGGTAGGAGAGTTTGGCCAGTCTAAGTTACACAGATTGTTCCAGACTAACTCATGCTGCATAGAGAGAAAAAAGAAAAGCACTATTTTATATAAATACAGAATTATTCACATAAACACAAAAATGCTTTTCTTTAAAGATCCTTCTGACTAACACTGATACTCAACATCACCATTAGTTAATCCCCAAAAACTGAAAAGCAAGAGAAGGGACACACTGATAAAGACACAGTCCCCACAGTGTCCAAGTTGGTCACTCATACCTTAAAAGAACGGATGGAGGAGATGCCACTGTCAGGCTGTCTCTGGTAATCATAGCGGGAGAAAGGCCCCTTCAGCACCGCACCTGTGTGCTTCAAGTCCACATTCTCTTCCACAGCAATATTACCCCAGTGAGAAACCTCGATGACCCGGGTCATACTGGTGATGGTCAGGAAAGGGCTGTTGTTCTCATAGTGTACTTTAAAAGTATCCTAAAAGGGAAGGAAATGAACAGTTCACAGCCTTGGCAACAGAGAAATCAAGGTTAGTTTAACAGTAATTAACTAGAGGGCCCACGCATCATCCTCAGAATGGTTACCAATCACTATTACATGAAGTGGGTTTTTTGAACTTACTTCTATGTACGTGCCTGCCTACATGTGTGTGTACCAAATGTTTGTAGGTACCGAAGGCCAGAAGGTGTTGGATCTTCTAAAGCTGGCATTACAGGAGATTGTGAGCAGCCAGATATAGGTGCTGGGAAATGAACTCAGGTCTTCTGAAAGTGTAGCATGTGCTCTTAACCACTGAGCCATCTCTCCAGTCCCTATCTATAGAGACGGATTTTTGTTTTGTTTTGTTTTGTTTTGTTTTGGAGAAAGAGTCTTGCTCTCAACTTGTCGCCTTCCTGACACAGACTGTAAGTTCTGGAATTATAGGCCTACACCACCACTCTCACCTTTTTTTGTTGTTGTTCTTGGTCATTTATGCCTATAATCCCAACACTAAACAGGCAGAGGCAGGAGGATCACAACTGAGTTCCAAGGACAGCTTGGGAAATAGAGACCCTGACTTAGACAGACAGACAGACGAGGCTGTTGCAGGATATTTGTTTACACTGTTTGAAGATGTGTCTATGTTTTGCCTCACCTGCCTAATGCACCTGGTTGGTTTAATAAAGAGCTGAATAGCCAATAGCTAGACAGGAGAGAATAGGCAGGATTTCTATGCACAGAGAGGAACTCGGAATGAATCTAGGTACACAGAAGATGTCAGCAAGACATGGAAAAAGTCAATCATACAGAAAGGAAGAGAGGTAAAAAGCCATGTGGTAGAATGCTGATTAATAGAAACAGGTTAATTTATTTATTTTGGGGGGGGTTTACGAGACAGGGTTTCTCTGTATTGTTTTAGAGGCTGTCGGTCCAGCCTGGCCTCGAACTCACAGAGATCCGCCTGCCTCTGCCTCCCGAGTGCTGGGATTAAAGGCGTGAGCCACCACTGCCTGGCGAAACAGGTTAATTTAAGTTATAAGAACTAATTGGGAACAAGCCAAAGCTAAAGGCTTTCATAATTGACAGTAAGTCTCCACGTCATTATCTGAGGGCTGGTGGTCCAAAAAAGTCCAACTACATAAGGCTAGGTGTGGTGACACACACTTTTAATCCCAGCACTTGGAGAAGAGGCAGGCAGATCTCTGAATTTAAGGCCAGCCTGTTCTACAGAGAGAACTTCAGGATAGTCAGAGAAACCCTGTTTCAAAAAAACCTAAAAAACAAATATGGTCAGAGGTCCAGCAGTCTCCCCAGCCTTTGACTAGATGATAAACACAAGCAACAATACTAGGTCTTCAATGAATAGAAATTCTGAGTCCAAGTGTCTGCATAAATCCTCAAGTTTCTCTCCTTATCCATCACCACCCTGCACAGAATACCCCATTGTCTTCTCCCATGATGCCCAATTTATAGCCTCTGAACTCAGTTCTCAAGAGGAAGCTAATGGGACTAAGAGTTACTTCAAGATAGGTTTAGAACAATTTCAGAATGCCACCCAGCACATTCCATCCAAACCTGGGAGTGACTTTCTCTGAAACCTACCTGACTGTAGGCAGGGGTATCTTTGAAAGGTCCATAATCCAAGACATCCTCAGATCGTGTGGGGTTCCCCAGCTTGGTATAGCTTTCCACATTTCGGGAGGCAAGTTTCACTCGCATGGTCTGGGTCTTTGTTGGGTAGGGAGAGTAGAAATAATGGTTGCCCTCAAATACCACAAACTGTTTCTCTGACTGAGTTATCTGAGTCGGATATGGATGAAGCACATGGGTGTAGACAGTTTCCACAACAACTGAGATCTTGGATCCAGGATCAAGAGCAACTGGAAGCTTGACTGTGAAAAATCTCCCACTGAAGGAAACAAGCAAGAAAATTAAAATTAAAGATGCTGGCCAGGCATGGTAGCACACACCTTTAATTCTAGCACTCAGGAAGCAGAAGCAAGTGGATCTCTGTGAGTTTTAGGCCAGTCTAGTCTACTATAGCAAGCTCTAAAAAAACAAAAGAGGAGCCGGGCATTGGTGGCGCTCGCCTTTAATCCCAGCGCTCAGGAGGCAGAGGCAGGTGGATCTCTGTGAGTTCCAGACCAGCCTGGTCTACAAGAGCTCGTTCCACGACAGACTCCAAAGCCACAGAGAAACCCTGTCTCGAAAAACCAAAAGAATAAAATAAAAAAATAAACATGTTCCCATGGAATTTATCCCCAATGACTAGAACATAGACAACTTTATATAGACCAGCATTGTACATCATATTGCTATGAAAAGTTTACAACTAACACTCCAAGCTCCCCATCTTCTCCTAGGACAGTTTTATGCCCTTCTTGGCTTCAAGTATCAGATCTGCTTCTCTTTTTACTGCTGGTCCTGAGTAAGCAGTGGGCACGTTTCCTTGTCAGTTCTGCTGACAGCCCAGTCAATCCAACATAGCAATACCATTCCCAACAGATTCCCTCCTCTGTTAATAGCACTGCCATGTAGCCAACTCTGAGCTAGGCAAGTAGGGGACCTTTTGTTTTGTTTTGTTTTGTTTTTCGAGGCAGGGTTTCTCTGTGTAGCTTTGGAGGCTGTCCTGGAACTTGCTCTGTAGACCAGGCTGGCCTCGAACTCAGAGATCAGACTATCTCTGCCTACCAAGTGCTGGGATTATAGGCGTGCTCCACCAACATCCAGCAACTAGGGGATTTTCTGATATCTCTACCTACCTTACCTATCCCAAATATCTGGTTATCTGGTTAGTCCACCTTAGAAATGTCTCTCAGTCTGTTTGCTTACCTTTTCCCTTTAATTTTGGTTTCTCGTACTTCTAGGTTGCTGTCTTCCTCATCTTCTCCTTTTACCTACAACAGAAAGAGTAATTTATTCTTTTTTGTATTTTCAAGTTCTAAGTTTTAAGCTAATTATTAACCAACAGTGGGTTTGAATGAAAATGTCCCACAAAGGCTCATGTTTAAATATTTGGTCCCCAGTTAGTGGAACCACTGGGAAGGATTCGGAGGTTTGCCCTTTGTGGTGGTTTGAACAGGAATGGACCCCACAGACTCATGTGTTTGAATGCTTGCCCCAGAGGGAGTAGCACTATTAAGAAGTGTGGGGCCTTGTTGGAGAGAATGTGTCACTGTGGGGGTTGGCTTTAAGGTTTTATATGCTAAAGCTACACCCAGTGTGCCACACATTCTCATTCTGCTGTCTGCAGATCAAGATGTAGAACTTGGGCTGGAGAGATGGCTCAGCAGTTAAGAGCACTGGCTGCTCTTCCAGAGGTCTTGAGTTCAATTCCCAGCACCCACATGGTGGCTCACCACTGTCTGTAGCACACAAGTGATGTACAAACACACATGCAGGCAAAATGATCATATACATAAAGTAAAATTAAAAATATTAAAAAATAATAATAACTTTAAAAGGGAAGATTTAATCTGAAACATCACCAAAGACTTACTAGTGCACAGAGTAAGTTCTATAAACTTCCTATAAACATTTTCTGAACAATCAAATGCACATTAAGATCATGTTTAAATATCTCCATGTTCACTTCCCAAACATTCCAAAGACTTCTTTCTAAACATTTTCTTTCTTATATCAAAATATCTGTAAGTACAAAATAAGGAAACAACAGAAGTCCCATCTGTGACCAAAACTGTTGATTCCAGAGAGGCAGCAGTGGCAAAGGCCTTAGGGGAAAGGAGCCCTAGTGGCCGCTATGGCACACTCTGTACTCTGACCGTCTACTGCCACGAGAAAGGTAGCCAGGTTAACCCCAGAAGGCTGCTGAGGTGTTATCTGGAGTCACAAACTGTGGCCGTCTATATGGAAAACATACATGCACTCCACTAACTCCAGACTAACTAATCACCACACACACACACACACACACACACACACACACACACACACACACACACACACAAAGACTAGTTTCGTGCTAGAGAGATGGCTCAGTTAAGAGCACTGACTGCTCTTTCAGAGGTCCTGAGTTCAATTCCCAGCAACCACATGGTGGCTCACAACCATCTACAAGTCAATTTGGTGCCCTCTTTTGGTATGTAGGCAGAACACTGTATAATCTTTAAAAAAAATCTTTAAAAAAAAAAAGACTAGTTTCTAGGAATGAAGCAGTAATTACCAACAGAGAACATAAGGCTATGAAGAATAATTTTATGTGCTGTGCTGAGCTGAGACTTGCACTCGTGGCCTGGTGCAGCTAAGTCTGTGCCTTACCACTGCACCACACCCCAACCCCACAGGAAATTGTCTTTTGTTTTGAGACAGAGTCTCACATAGCTCAAGCTAGCCTCAAACTCCCTTTAGATTGACATTGAGCTATTGATCCTCCTGCCAACTGCTATAATTATATAAGCCGTCATCACTATATCCCAACTCCAAAAGCAATTACTTAAACATTATTTTTAGTATTTTTAGAAAGCACAAAAAGTTATGTAATCATTCTTTTTATATAATTCATTACTTTGACTAGAATCTTACTAGGATAGCATTCTAGTAAACTCATGCTTATTCAGAATTCTTTGCTAATGCATTATATTAATGAAAAATATTCATTATTTAGTAACGGTAAGAAGAACCAGGCATGGCAGTACACAGCTCTAGTCCCAATACATGGGAAAAAGAAGCAAGATAATATGAAGTTCAAGATCATTTTTAGCTTTCAGCATTCTGGAGCCTGCAACAGGGATCCAAGTTCTAAAAGTCTTAGGACTACACAACATGACCCTGTCTCAAAAACAAAAAATAGTAAAAGAGAAAGTGGTGGCTCAAGCTACATAATCACTAATATCTTTCTACCAGTTCCTAAAAGGGTACCTGTAACCCATGCAACCTCACCCAAATCTCCAACGCAGTATGTGCTCTCTGCTACATTTATCATCCAGCCGTTTCTCACCAAGTATCGGGATTAAAGGTGTACACCACCACTGCCCAGCATGGTGGCCATTGTTTTTTTTTTTCTTTTTTTTTTTTCCGAGACAGGGTTTCTCTGTATTGTTTTGGAGGCTGTCCTGGAACTCGCTCTGTAGACCAGGCTGGTCTTGAACTCAGAGGTCCGACTGCCTCTGCCTCCCCAGTGCTGGAATTAAAGGCATGTGTCACCAACGCCCGGCTTTTCCTTTCTTTTTAACATGTCTGTGCACCCTGGAACTGGAGTTACAGATGGCTGTGAGCCACCATGCCGGTGCTAGGAACTGAACTTGGATGTTCTGTGCTCTTAACTACTGAGCCACAATGAGTGACCCAACTGAGTGCCTTCTCCACCTTGGCGGCTATTGATTATATTGTGACCTCATTAAGTCATGACTGGCTTTCACAAAACAGGTCTGAACATACAAACCATTCACAGGTGGCACTGTAAGCTAAATGAAGCCATCAGTGTCTTTCCAGAAACGTGAGTAAACTGTGCTTCGGCTGACCAAGGGTTCGGTGTGAAGGGAACAGGAGTCACTTCAGTGACAATTTATAAGCACAGCTTTATAGCTCCATACAGTCAAGAGAATGAGGTGTGTTTAGAACTGTGTTACTGTAATAACTAGTCTCTTAATAAATTGGGTAACCACTTAATGAAATAGTTTAGTGAAAACTAATAAAAAGCAACCTTTGTGGATATTCCCAAAGCCAACGACGTCTTTCCTTGAAAGCTGTAAAAGTGTTCACTGAAAGGCACAGGCTAATGCTGAGGTGTTCCAATGAGAGGCCGTGCGGAGGAAGAGACGCGGGTTTCAACTTTCTGTACAGCACAGGGGGCCGATTATTACTTGATATTACTTGAAAGACTTTCCAAGTGGGAACATTTAACAAAGTGTCCAGCCGCAGCTTTTAGAGGTGAGTTATGACAAACCTGGACACCAGAAACCTTCCGAACGCTACTGTCGAGAACAGACTACATCGGACAGACAACTGCCTTCAGGAATTAACTTCGATTTAACTCACTTACGGTCCTTTACTGAACGAGCACGTCCAGGGGACAAGGGGAAAGCTAGGTGCCGGAAGAACCGCACCTGGCCACAGCCAAGACGTCCCTGTGGCGAGCGAGGCGGTCACCAGGGGACCAAGGGGTCGCCGCGGGCTCCGGAGCTGCCACGTGGGCGGCGCCCGCCGCTCTAAGCTTGCGCTGACGTGTCCGAGTGGACACACGGGCGGCGGACCCCGGCCTCTCCGCTGTGCCCTCCACACCAGCCTTTCAGGCAACCAGACGCCTCGTGGATTCCCTAACGCCCTCAACTTCCCCGCCCCGCCCCGGCCTCCCCGGCCCCCTCAGGAATCCCGTGTGCGGCCTCGCCGGCCCCTCTGGCCGCTCACCTGCACGCCGAGATGCGCCAGCCTCGACTCGAGTTCCGGCTCCAGGGCCAGAACGAACGAGCTGGCTCGGGATGTGGAGCCGCCGCCCGGGTGCGCCAGGACCACCTCAGCCGTCACCTTGGCCAGGTGGCTGCTCAGGTCCACCGTGCGCTTCACGTCTTCGTTGACCAGCGGCGGAACCTCCAAAGAGGCGCTGCCGGGCGCCGGGGTCAAGGCCCCGAGCCACAGCAGCAGCAGCAAGCCGACCGGCGCCTCCATGACCGCGAGCTGAGCGCCGGCGACACGAGCCCCGCCCCCGCCACGGAGCAACCGCTGATTGGACGACAGCAACACAAGATGGCTGGACCGGGCCAGAAAGGACCCCGTCTCCAGGGCAACCCGGCAACCGCAGGGCGCCTGACTGAAAAATCTTAAAAGTGCAGGCCTACCTCTTGGTGTGTGCTTTACTACCAAGATGACACTAATGAGGCATCACCTAAGGAAGGGATTCCATACCCTCATATGGCAGAAAGGCAGTGAAGGGCCTCCCTGCTGCAAGCCCCTTTACAAAGGCGTCTTCAGGATGTATTTCTCTGGTGCAATCATCTCCCACAGGCACACTGAAGAGTTAGTGCAGAAACTTTCTGCTCAGCTTACTGGTAAGTACACCTGCCTGACAAGGAAGCCAGCATAGTAATGATAACATTCGCTGGCATTATTGGGCCTTGATACCAATAATAAAAAAAAAATTACTGTGTAAACCTCTCCTCCCCACAAGTTCCCTTTTCACCCTGTAAAGCCTCCAAGCACCCTGCACCAACCTAGGTGTACAGGCTCCACTCCCGTGAAGAGACTGCTGCCCTTCATTTGATGTGGCTTAAGGACAATTCTGTTTCCGTAGAGATTCTGCAATTCTGCTTCTCTTTGATCACCACATCGCCTCAATCAATCCCGCTCTAACGAACACTCCCCAATATTGTTGCTTGGAGGATTTAGTTCCTATGTAAATTTTTGGAGGAAATGGAAATAGTTGAACAATAACACCAGCTAATGGAAAGAGAAGGGAGGGAGGACATGCTCTACCTTACAGAGCAAAAGTCAGAGAATTAGCACCTGCGGGCCAACACTCTATCTATCACGTTTTATTGGGACATAGCCACATTTATTTGCCTGCGGCTTATGACTGCTTTCACACTGCAACGGGAACAGTAGAATAGTTAGTTGCTAAGCAGACTGTGTGGCCCACAAGGCAAAACTGCATACTGTTTGAACACTAGTACATACATGAGGCTGGAGAGATGACTCAGTGGTTAAGAGATCTTGCTGCTCTCCTGAAGGACCTGAGTTCCTCCAGTTCCCAGAGCCCCCACAAACAGCTCACAACTGCCTGTAGCTCAAGCACCAGGGGACTGGATGTTCTCTTCTGATTGCCAGTCACCCACACACGTGTCCTCCTCTCTGTTCCTCTCTGTCTCTCTCTCTGTCTCTCCCTGTGTGTGTGTGTGTGTGTGTCTCACACATACACACAAATAAATACACATTTAAAAATAATTCTGAATGTCATCTGGGTGTAGTAGTGCGTGTCTGTAATCCTTCAGTACTTGGGAGACTAGAGAAAACAGCAAATTTAGGACCAGCATAGGATATTTTGTTTTAATATAATAACAATTATTAAAATAATAATGACAGTAGGAAGTATGACCACTGCTGCTCTAGTATCACGTTCACCAGGGCAAAGATCTGCAAAAGAAGCAGGGGCGATATGGCAGTTGCTTAGGATAACAATCAAAAATTAGAGACAAAATTTTTTCAACTCTTCCCAACTTAAAAATTATAAAGTTTAGGTGTCTGGAGAGAAGGTTCAGCAGTTAAGTGTGTTGGCTGCTCTTGGAGAGGACCCAGGTTCAATTTTCAGAACCCACATGGCTTCCAGTTCCAGTGGATATAACATTCTCTTGTGGACCACATTGGCATTTCAGGAATATGGTGCACAGACACACATGCAGGCAAAACTCTCAGACACATATAATAAATATTTTTAAATAAAAAGTTATTATTAAAGAGTGTTTAGAGGAGAACTAGGTAGATATGTCAGTCATAAAATCCTTGCCACACAAGCATCAAAACCTGACTTCGATCCCCAGAACCCATGAAAAAGTCAAGCACAGTGATACTCTGACTGGGAGTCAGAGACAGATAGATTTGTTTTCTACCTGGGGTTTGCTGTCCAGCATAGCCTACTAACTGAGTTTCAGACCAGTGAGAGATCCTGTCTCAAAAACCAAGGTAGACAGCTCCTGAGGAATGAAGCTGTTCTCTAGCTTCCTTTGCATACATACATACATACATGCACCAAGAAACATGTGAAGAGGGATTGGTAACAGGACGTGTCAAGTGTGCTGAAGGACTTTAGGGGTGTTGCTCAGTGCTAGAGCATATGCTTCACATGTACAAGACCTAGGGTTCAATCCTCAGAGCCATGCACACATACGCACAACTGTGGAAAGCAAGCCTAGAGTGGAAGAAAACACTGAACACATGAAGACTGACACCCAAAGTAATAGGAAAAAATAAGAAGAAAAGTAATAGTAGAAAACGAGCGGAAGAATTTGAATAAGCATATCTAAAAAAATATGCAGGCTACTTAGTTCAATGAGAGAACATCTGCCTCATATGCACAAAGCCTGAGTTCTAGCCCCAACACTGAAGTAAATAAATAAAGCCAGTGCAACTGATATGATCAACTTATAAGCAAGGTTTATATGACTCACAGTTTCACAAGTTTCAATCCATGATTGGTAAGCCTGTTGCTTTTGACTTTGTGGCAACACATTATGAGAAAGCAAAACTGATCATTTAATAGCCAGGAAGAAAACAGAAGAGGAGAGGCTGGGTCCCCAGCATCCCCTTTGAGGCTATCTTCCCCGTGACTTTAAGAATCCCCACTTAGCCCAGCTCTTACAGTTCTACCACCTATCAAAAGTGCCAAGATGGAGGTTAAGTGCGCTGGTTAGTTTTTGTCGGTTTGACACAAACTAGAGTCACCTGGGAATTCACCTCAGATGAGGAATTGTTCCCATCAGATTTGTCTGTTGCCATATCTGTTGGCTAGTTTTCCAATACCAGGCATGATTTCCCCCCTCTTGATTGAGCCAATTAGACAGTTGTTGATTGCTACCAAGATTAAATGCCACTATTGCACCATTAGGGATATTTGCCACGCTTGTGGGGAGCCGGGAAAACCACGAGTGAGTGAAGTGCTGAGTAAATAAATGTGTTCTATCAACATGGGCATGGCCGAGTTAAGAACTCCATAGCCTCTGGTCCAGAAAGATTGCAAAGCCTTCCTCAGGCAATTGAGTGTTAGCTTTAACAGTGTGTGCAGAAAATCTCCATGACAGCGGGCGCACGCCTTTAATCCCAGCACTCGGGAGGCAGAGGCAGGTGGATCTCTGTGAGTTCGAGGCCGGGCTGGACCGATAGTCTCCAAAACAATACAGAGAGACCCTGTCTCGTAAAAACCAAAAAAAAAAAAAAAATCTCCATCCATGACAGCCTCTCCCCCTGATATGACTGCTTGCCTACAAAGACTGTTTCTACAAAGATCAGCTAAGCCTATCCCCTTGGTCCAGCTGTATACCATAAACCCCGCTTACTTGTTTATCTGTATATAATAACCCCCATCTCCTTGTTCACCTGTATGAAACAACCCTACCTCTCTATTCAACTTTATGTAATAAATGTGCTAAGCTTCTAAGATGCTGTAGTTTCTTCATCAGAGATCCCAGTCTGCCCAATGCCAGCCTTTCTGTGTGCCCATGTGTCCAACCATCCATATATTTTCATTCCCTCACTGTCCCAGTCAAGCCCATCCATAAAGTCATGCTTGATGTGACACATGCTGGTCATTGTCATGGTTCATAGGCATCACAGCTAGGTAGGGCTCTTAATTGCCTCCCTCCCATGGAAGCTTGCATAGCAGCTTCTAGCACTGTGAAAGCCAGCCCTCAGGGAATGTCTTCACATTAATGATTGATGTTGGAGAGCCCAGCTCACTATGAGCAGTGCCCATGGGAAGGTGGTCCTGGGCTATCTAAGAAAGCAAGCCGAGCAAGCCATGGAGAGCTGAGCAGCATCCTCCATGGCCTCTGCTTCAGTTCCTGTCTCCAGGTTCATGCCTTGAGCTCCTACTCTGACTTCCCTCAGTGATGTGGAAGTATAAGCCAAATAAGCCCTTTCCAACAGAAAGCAAGTAGCAACACTTTTAATTATTTACTTATTTTTATTTTGTGTCACATGTGTGTCTGTGTTTACAATAGTGTTTCCTCTGTATCTCAGGCTGGCCTAGAACTCACTGTGTAGTCCAGGCCACCCTTGAACTCATAGCAATTCTCCCATCACAGAGTGATGGTGCCATAGGCCTGTACCAACCTGCCTGTCCTCAGTGGTATTCTGACTTACCTTATTCTTATTTCTCTCTCTCTAAGCCCATGGTGGCCTTGCAAAATAAGGCAAAAGAAATCATGGTGGAAACTAGCCTGGTACCCTCTGGAGGGTAGAGAATGGCATGACAGCTCCTCTAAAGCTCAATTCCTGTTGTTGTTTAACCGCTGACTATTCCATGGGAAGGCCCACTGAGAAGGTTTTTCTTGGGCTTTGCCCCAGGAGCATTTGTGGGAAACAACAGTGGGGATCCTTAAACATCACAGTGACCTGAAGTGGTGATAACAGGGCAAATAACAAGCTGATTAAAGCATCTTAAAAGGGAAGAGAAGGAGTTTGGGGCTCTAAAGTCTGCACATCCATGGAGCTGGCACAAGCACCAGAATACACAAAGGACTGTGAGATCTTACTGTCGGCTGACCTTTTGGCTCTGTGCACACTGGAGGAGTGAGATAGAGCTGTGAACTGAAGAGTCTACCTGTGTCTTGGCCAGCATGGCTTGGTCATGATTTAGTTTACTGCATACAGCAGAAGGACAGCTCAGCCGGTCTCAGTGCAAGGTCTCTGTGGATGAGCTGTGAACATCTGCAAGGAGGAAACAGCAGCCTGCACGTTCTGTGCACTCTGTCACTGCACACAAAACCGAGGAAGGCTTTGACAGTTCCCCTGGGTCTGAAGCATTAGTCTTTGTTAACAATGTACACAGACTCGGGCCTTCCTTCATTCCTTACACATTCATCCAAGGGTTCCTCCACTCCCTGTGCAAGCAAGCGTCAAGGGTAAGGAAGTTTCATGTGCTCACAGAACAAAGTTGGGAGATTTAGTAATTCTAAACATGTAAGGAAGCCTCTCTCCCCAGTAACTTTCTGGTCATTCAGCTAGCTGTTCAAACAGTTGAAAGAAAAATAAAACTAGAGACTGGGTATAGTGGTGCACATATTTAATCCCAGAATTCTTGTGGCAGAGGCAAGTGGATCTCTGGGGGCTCAAAGCTAGCCTGGTCTACATAATGACAAGGCCAGTTATGTAGAGAGACCCTGTTTCAAAAAGAAGAGGATTAGGAGGAAAGAGAAAGAAGGAAGGAACGAAATAAAAGAACAAGAACACTTAACATTACTGAGAAAGTAGACAGATAAAAATGCAGACAGTGGGACTGGAGAGATGGCTAAGTAATTAAGAGCTCTGGCTGATCTTGCAGAAGTCCCAGCACGACGTGCTGGCTCACAAACATTAGTAATTCCTGTTCCAGTGGATCTGACATCCTCTCTGACCCCTATGAGTATCAGGCATGCATGAGATATGTAGACATACATGCAGGCAAAACATTTGTATACATAATATATATGAAGTGTCATTTCTTCAGGTGTGATGGCAAATGTCTGTAATCAAAAGTGCCTGAGGACATAGAGGCAGGAAGAGCAGGTGCTGAAGACCAGCCTGAGCACACAATATCCTGTCTCAAAAACAAAAAGCAAGCCAACAAGATGTTGTTTCAACATAGTGTATTAGGTCAAGTGAATAACCATATGGAAAATATTTTTTGTTTCTTTTATTATTCATATTTTTATGTCTAAACTTTTCATTTTGGGGGAAATCACACACACACACACACACACACACATATATATATATATATACACATATTTGAACTTTGTTTTTGTTTGGTTGTTTGAGACAGGGTTTCTCTGTAGCTTTGGAGGCTGTCCTGGAACTCAGAGATCAATACCTTTGCCTCTCCACAAACCTTTATATTGTTGTCAGGCAGGAAAGATGGTTCAGCAGTCAAGAGCACTGACTGCTTTTCCAGAGGACCCCATTTCAATTCCCAGAATCTACATGGCAGCTTACAACTGTCTGTAACTCCAGTTCCAGGGGATCCAATGCCTTCACACAGACACACATGCAGGTGTAACACCAATGCACATAAAATAAAAAATAAAACAAAGTAAGTCATTAAACTGTTATCGCCCCAAGATTCCTAGCACCCCCCTTTTTTTGGTTTTTTTTCGAGAGAGGGTTTCTCTGTGGCTTTAGAGGCTGTCCTGGAACTCGCTCTGTAGTCCAGGCTGGCCTCGAACTCACAGAGATCTGCCTGCCTCTGCCTCCCAAGTGCTGGGATTAAAGGCGTGCGCCACCAACGCCCGGCACCTAGCACCCCTTTTATGATATCTATGTTTGTTAATTTTTTGGTGTGTGTGTGTGTGTGTGTTCACCTGTATATGCGAATGTGCACATTTGTTTGTATGAATGCAGGCAAGCAAGTATGTATGGGAGAGAGTACGTTATCAGGCATTGGCCCTTGCTTTCCTCCTGATTTGAGACAGGATCTTTGTTGGTTTTCTGCATATGCCAGGCTAGCTGGCTCTCGAGTTCCTAAGGGCTCTTCTATCTCTATCTCCCTCTCCCTTTAGAAGTGTTATGATAACAAAATCACGTTTAGCTTTTATGTGGGTTCTGGAAATTCAAACTCAGGTCTTCATGTTTATGTGGCAAGTGTTTCATACACCTTGCACCTTTCTTGGCAATTCAAATACACTGTCCAAAATGTTTCCTCTAGGTTTCACTCCAGTCTTTCCAGGTCTCAAACACCTAACATCTGAATGTAGGCAGAGGCAGGCAGATCTCTGTGAGTTTGAGGCCAGCCTGATCTACAGGGCAAGTTCCAGGACAACCAGAACTGTTACAAAGAGAAGCCCTGGCTCCAAAAACCAAAACAACTAAGAAAACAAATAAATGTTCAGACTCTTTCCTCTTGTGATCCTTCATCAGGAATTCTACATTTTTTTAAAGATTTATTTATTATGTATACAGTGTTCTGTCTGCATGTCAGAAGAGGGCACCAGATCTCATTACAGATAGCTGTGAGGCACCATGTGGTTGCTGGGAATTGAACTCAGGACCTCTGGAAGAACAGCCAGTGCTCTTAACCACTGAGCCATCTCTCCAGCCCCCCAGGAATTCTACATTTTTCTCCCTTACTTCATCCTCTACTACATTAAGCTAGGGGATCTAATATCTGGTTTTCCCCCCCAAGACAGGATTTCTCTGTGAAACAGCCCTGGCTGTCCTGGCACTCACTCTGTAGACCAGGCTTGACCTCAAACTCACAGAGATTTGCCTACCTCTGCCTCCTGAGTGCTGGAATTAAAGGCATGTGCCACCACCCCACACCCTCCTCACCCCTGGTGGAGTCTAATTTCTATTTTAGCTCTATGTATGTATATATGCATGTAAAGAATTAAATTTTATATATAAAGAATTTAAACCATAACTTGTAATCCCAGCACATTAAGAGGCTGAGGCAGGAGGATAGCTATGAGTAGGCCAAACTGGGTTACACTGAATTCCATGACACCCTAGGCAACAGAGTGAGATCCTATATCAAAAACAAAACAAAACAGTAAACACTTCTGACCCTTTCAGGCACCAGGCACACCATATAGTGTACATATACACATGCAGGCAAAACAGTCATATGCATAAAATAAATGCGTTTTATAATAAAACCAAAACAAAATTAAAAAACCGGACACTGCAACTAAAAACTCATTAAATCTTGCAATGATGAAGGCAAAGGCCTGCAAATCTATCTCAACCAGAGTTTAGCCAAGTGCGTGAAGAGGAAGAGCCTCGGTTTTGTCCCCGGAAAAGTTTAGCAATGTTCTCAACTCTTGGCCTTCAACTCCAAACCGACAGGCCACGCCCCCGTCCTTTGAGTAAACTCACCCAGGGTAGGGAACACACGGCCCTCTCCTGCTTGCTCCAGGCCGACCCGGAAGCAGAATTCTCAAGTCAAACACCACACACCTGATAAAGCACGGCCACCAGGGGGCGTGCAAGCCGCCGTAATGTCCGCTTTAACGCAGTTCCGCTTTAAACCAGCCTGAGCCTCCGAAACGAAGGCTTCTTGCATACATTCTGGCCCTTTCCTGCCTGTTTTAGGAGTGTGGAGAGGTATCCTTGCTTCTGGGAAGTGCAGAGATTCACCCCACAGAGCCACCTCTGCGGAGTTTCTGTAGCGGCGACGCTGGAGGCAACCTAGAGGAGACTATGACGACTCAGCGCTGTGCCCCAAGCTCTTGTGCTTGGGGGCCAGGAGCGCGAAGGTGCCACGCCATGTGGCGTCCTGGCTGTGTTTCCTTGCACCAAGTTGAGGGGTTTCCAGGAGCCGTAACTTGACTGCAGACAATCTGCTTTTTCCAGTTTTCAGCCACAAATCGAAACCCAGCATGGTGAAACCCTTTCAGCGGAAATCTCTAACCCTTAACAGTGCAGAACAGTGTTGTATGTGCTGACATGGAGCTGAGGCAGTTTAGAAAGCCAGGGAAAATTAGGGACCATGGAAGAGAACAGAGACCTGTACCTGGAGTCTCCTGAGGGTCAAAAATTGTGATACAACAAAATTATCTGCGAACATTGTCTTCACAGACGATTTTTATTAAATAGGAATATTTCAATAGCTGGGTTGGTGGGACATCCATAATCCCAACACTGGAGGAGGCTAAAACTGGAGGATTGTAATGAGTTTGGGATTAGCCTGAGCTTCAGAGTGTGGCCTTGTTTCAATTCAAAAAGAAAAACTCAAGGTCTTAGCCTCAAACTTTAACAGTGGTTCTCAACTTTGTGTATCATGACCCCTTGGGAAGTGGGGGCGGTAGAACAATCTTTGTTCACAAGAGTCCCCAAGGCCTCCTGTAACCTGTAACCCTTCGAGAATCTTCGACGATAACTAACTTTATTTACCAGTCAAACCACGGCTTAACTTCAATGTAACCGCTATAATAAAGATGCCTTTGACACTTTGGACCTAAGGCCATCTGCTTATCATATTTACATTAAGATTCATGACAGTAGCAAAATTACAGTTATAAAGTGGCAACGAAAATGATTTTATGGTTGGGGGGTGTCACCACAACATGAGGAAATGTATTAAGGAGCTGAAACATTAGGAAGGTTGAGAACTACTGCACTTAAAGTATGATTCATTGCCATTTTAGTTTATTTATTTTGAGAGGTTACGTGTAGCATAGGCGGCCCCAAGTCTACATAGCCAATGCTGTTCCACCTCCTGGGTGGGGAGTCAGGCATAGGCTGCCACACCTAGCTTCAATTGATTTTACTTTGAGGCAGGGACACTAACCAGGCTAGCTCAGGGCTGTCCTCTGGCTCATGCCTCAGCCATCCCAGTGCTAGGGTTATAGATATGACGCCCCACACCTTAATACATCTTTGAGTCTAACCTCGAGTATCCTAGCTGTAACCTGTAACCCTCTGAGAATCTTAGAGTTCACTAGTCTAACCTCGAAGTATCCTAGGTGTAACCTGTAACCCTCTGAGAATCTTAGAGTTAACTAGTCTAACCTCGAAGTATCCTAGGTGTAACCTGTAACCCTCTGAGAATCTTAGAGTTAACTAGTCTAACCTCGAAGTATCCTAGGTGTAACCTGTAACCCTCTGAGAATCTTAGAGTTAACTAGTCTAACCTCGAAGTATCCTAGCTGTAACCTGTAACCCTCTGAGAATCTTAGAGTTACCTAGTTTTATTTACCAGTCAAAGCATGACTTAACTTCAAATTCTATCCAGCCCACCTTAGAAACCACCCCAGGATCACATTCACCAAAGCAAAAATAAATAAAATTTTAAAAAAAGATGAAACAAAGTTCTTTAGAACACTTTAAACAATGCACCTTCAAAAGTCACTCTGTTGAGAAACCCAAACACAAAGATCAAATCAAAACAAAAAGTCTTGGCCTCACCTGAGTGGAAATCCCTGAAAAGAAGTCTCTTACACCGTTTGAAATAGGGTTGAGCTGTATTTTCTCTCTTCACCACTATTGCCAGAACCAACTCCAAAGTGTGTGCGAGCAAAGACGTGTATGGACAGGCCATTGTTTTTAGACAGGAAGACCCACACAGGTAAGGACATACACGAGTTTATGTAGCACCATCTCTCCAAGAAATAACTGGTAACTTCCCAACAAAAGCACAGTTTTCATCTAAGATCAGGTCTTCTGAGATTTATAAATTATGATGTTTTTGCTGCTGTTGTTTGGTTTTTCAAAACAGGGTTTCCCAGTGTGGCCATGGATGTCCTGGAACTCTCTCTCTGTAGACCAGGCTGGCCTCAAACTCAGTACTGCCTGCCTCTGTCTCCGAGTACTGGGTTTAAAGGCATGCACCACCAATGCCTGGCTTGAGAATCAGATTCTTAACACTGGGTCATCTTGCCTCTGTCTGATCTGTCCACCTAAAATTGCAGGATCACAGATAAATGTCCAGTGAGGCAAATGGACATTGACCCCTGAGCCAGCATTGCCTTCCCAGCAGGAGGAGTTGCCTCAGCACCAGGCTGGCTGTTGCAGACCACCCCACCCACCCCAGCAGTAGGGACTCCTTTGACTCCTAAGGCTAAGATATGCAGAGTCCTCTGCTCTGGCCTTTGTTCTTCCTCAGTAGCCTCAAGATATAGGCACATTGAAGCTAAAGCCCCCTTTCCTGTATCACTGCCTTTCCTGCCTGGTTTTCTTTCCGGGTGAGTAGCAAAATCAAGTCTATCTTTTCTTCTGGGGTTCTGGATATAGATTCAACACATCTGAAAAGGTGAATGATACAGTCTGCAGGGATAAAATGTTCAAAGTTAGTATGCAGCACATGCTGCCAGTGACAACCTCTTGGAAGTTACATGAAGTTATTTTGAAGGGGATGGAGAGTGAGCAGGGGCATGCAGATCTACCTATCAACTGCATCTGTGCCTTTGTACTGTACACCTGCTATGGTTTTCAGTTGTCCTTTGGGGTTAGTATTACAAAAAGCTGGTAGAATTAAGTTAGAGTTGGAGCCCAGTTCAGTCTTAAAATCATTTGGAAAGATGTCTTCCATGCTTAAAAAAATAAAGTAACATTCAGAGTGAGGTCTCATGCCTAGTTTCTCAGCACTTATATATAGGTTAAGACAGGAGGATTGTGAGGCCAGCCTGGGCTATACAATGTCAGATCCTGTCTCAAAAGAAAAGAAGAAAAGAGAAAGAGAGAAGCATAATACAGTAGCAGTCTGAGACTGGTGTTGATCTTGAAGGTCACATTTAATGTGAAGAGAGGAATTGGTCCAATGTCCTAAGGAACTTAACCTCCTGGAATCTTGCCTAGTGTGCAGTCTCTGACAAGTCGGACATTCTTTTTTTTTGTTTTTTTTGTTTTTTTTGTTTTTTGAGACAGGGTTTCTCTGTATTGTTTTGGAGGCTGTCCTGGAACTCACTCTGTAGACCAGGCTGGCCTCGAACTCACAGAGATCCACCTGCCTCTGCCTCCCGAGTGCTGGGATTAAAGGCATGCGCCACCAACGCCCCGCCGGACATTCTTTTAAGACAGCTGTCATGCAGAGGAGGCTGTGTTCAACTCCTGATCCTCTTGCCTCCCTTCTTAAGTGCTGAGATTTGGGGCTTGCTCCAACACTGAAAAGAGAGCTAAATTGAGCGCTCTCCAATTGGGTAATTACACACAGCACTTGGGGATCTTGGAGGTGTTTTGTTTGTTTGGTTTTTGTTTGTTTGTTTCTGTTTTGGTTTGCTTTGGTTTGGTTTTCCAAGACAAGGTTTCCTCTTTATTGTTTTGAAGGCTGTCCTGGAACTCGATCTGTAGACCAGGCTGGCCTCGAACTCACAGAGATCTGCCTGCCTCTGCCTCCCGAGTGCTGGGATTAAAGGCATGTGCAACCACTGCCCGGTCTATGGATCCTTCAATAAGTTACTTAACCTTTTCCAACTTCAACTCCATCCAGAGGTGAAAATAGCAAACCTTTTTCAAGGGTAACAGTGAAAATTGTTAGGAATAATTTATATAACCAGGCATGGGGCTTCATATCTGTAATTCTAGCCTTGGGTAGGTCAAGTCAGAAAGAGCTCAAGTTTGAGGCCAGCCTTGGGCTACATAATGAAATGCTGCCTCAAACAAAACAAAACAAGACAACAAAAACAAAACCCTCCTGCCAGTCACACCTACTGCTTCAGGTCACGGTCTGCTCTGAGTCTGGCAGACACTCAGCCCGTGTTTCTGACACTCACTTTCAGCCTTCCCCATTTTGCTTCCCAGAGACTACCCCGAGTGTTCTGAAATTCACACTCACTTGGGTAGCTGAGGATGACTTTGAACTCTGTCTTCTCTTTGTTTTGTTTTGGTTTTCGAGACAGGATTTCTCTGCATAGTCCTGGCCATCCTGGAATTCTGTAGACCAGTCTGGCCCCAAACACCTTTGAACTCTTGACCTTCCTGCCCCCCCATCCAAAGTACTGAGTATACAGTCATGCACCATCATACTTGGCTGTTATCTTTATACTTCATATGCATTAATCTTGGATACATTTTAAAATATATTTAATTATTGCAAAATACACATAACCCAAAGCTTGGCATCTAACCCTTCTTAAGTGCATAGTCCACAAAGCACACCCACAGTATTTCATAAGCAACCTCTAGGACTCTTCATCTTGCATAACTGAACTGAAAGTCTACCACGAAGCAGTAATTCCTCATTTTGTTCCAACCCCAAGCTCTGACAACCAACATTCTACCTTTTTTTTCTCTCTGAACTTTACTATTCTGTATAGCACATTTTGATGGAACCTTGTGTATCTGGTCTATTTAATTCAGCCCAGTGTTTTTAATATTTCAAGCATGTTTTCAGGACACAGCAGAACTTCATTTCTCTTCTGAATAATCTACTGTATTTATATAGAACATTCATCTATTCACCTGTTAATGAACACCTGGATAACTTCCACTATTCAGCTGTTTCATCAAAGTTGCAATAAATAAATACAGGTTGCAGACATACTTTAATATCAGGAAATTCTGATAGAACCAGAGACAGTTGATTACATTTTATATTTGACTAAGTAATTCTGCTATTGTAAAAAGTTGCTATGTGTGGGGCAGTAGTGGTACACACTCTTGATCCCAGCACTTGGGAGGTAGAGACAGGTGGATCTCTGTGAGTTCAAGGCCAACTTGGTCTACAGAGGGAGTTCTAGAACAGCCAGGGATATTATACAAACAAACAACAACAACAAAAAAAAAAAAACAAGCAACAACCAAAAAAAACTACTGTGTTTTATGTTCTCAGGTGACATGGAAGTCTTTAGAAGTTTCTTTTGTGTTTTGTTTGAGTTGGTTTGATTTTTAGGTTTTGTTTTGTCCTTTTTTGGGGGGGAGGGTGTTTCTCTGTATTGTTTTGGAGCCTGTCCTGGAACTAGCTCTGTAGACCAGGCTGGCCTCAAACTCACAGAGATCCGCCTGCCTCTGCCTCCGGAGTGCTGGGATTAAAGGTGTGCACCACCACCTCCCGGCTGTTTTGTCTTTTTTGACACAGGGTCTCATGTACTCCAGGTTGGCCTCCATCTTGCTTTACGATTTAACTTCTGATCCTCCTGCTTCCACCTTCCAAGTACTGGGATCACACCACTCATGACTTTTAAATGTGTTTCATTAGCTCAGGTTGTCCTGGAATTTACTATGTAGCCCAAGCAAGTATCAAACTCATGATCTTTCTACTTTAACTTTTTAATTTTTTTTTTTTTGAGACAGAGACCTGACTGCCTCTGCCTCCGCAGTGCTGGGATTAAAGGCTGCATCAGCACCACCCGGTCTGCTTTAACGTCTTGGGTACTAGGGTTGCAGGTGTGTGCCACCATGTCCATCTTGCCAGAAGGTATTTTTGTTTTGTTTTACACACAGTTATTTACAGTGCATCACAAGTCATGACAGCCCTGTAAGGAGACACAGGTTAAAGATTCTGTGACAGCACTGATCTT